CAGAAAAGTTTTAGATTGACGGCGTGACAGTTTGCAGGTAACTATTAGATTAGCAAATACAGGTTTAACAGTTTCCCTTCGCTTTAATTTTCAATATAGTAGTTGCCTGTATTGTCGTAACAGTAGAATTTCTGGGGGCAATAACGAATGTCACGGTCAATTTGTAGGTAATTGAAGTATCGTTTCTTTACTTTTGCAAATTCACGACGCTGTTGTGGTGTAGAAGGTCGGTGATGTCGCGTCGGTGGTTCAGTGGTAGAATGCTCGCCTGCCACGCGGGCGGCCCGGGTTCGATTCCCGGCCGACGCATTATTTAAATCAGTGAAGGTCATTCTCTGATCAGGATGTACTTCTTAGAAGCGCTGGAGGCAGTAGGATAGTCACACTTTAATGTAAGAACTTCACTTGTACAATATGAGAGCGCCGTTTCTGAAGGGGTAAAGGTCACACTGCTTTCATGCAGTCAGTGCTTCTGTAGTGCAGGTTTCATGTAACCGGAGCAGTATTTAGAAGGAATCGAATGTAAAAAGCGTTTTGTCAGATAGATACGTTTGGTTAAAGTAGTAAAGTATTTTTTCGTTATCTAATTTCTCTCGTGATGTCAATTTCACTTTTAAATTTTAGTCTTTATGCTTTACATATAAGAGTGGATCTTTTGGGTGTGCTTAAAATTTGCATAAATTTCATTTTTAGCAACAATTGGCTCAAATTTTAACACTGCGGTTAAAGTATTTGGAAATCAGTTAAACAGTGGAGAAAAATTATTTTTTTTTGATTATGAATATAGTTTATTTTATCAAATGTCTTTGAATTTGATAAAAGTATGTTTTGAAAAAGTTCTGAAGTTACCCTGTAGTTATTATGCAGTGAATGGTGACGAAGAAAATCACGTGGTAAGATGATGTAAGCTAAAAATAGAATAAATATGCCGTGGAGCTTTTAAGTAGCAATTTAATTTTTGCAATTGATTTTCATCGTCAGTTGTGCCTATTTGGGTTTAGTTTGCGGAAATTATTTAAGGGAGACATCTTTTTAAGTGCTAATTCTCTGGCATTTAATGAAGAGTTTGCAACTGACGAGACTTCAGCTGTCTGACGATTTAGATGAGGGATTTTTTAAACCTGTGTGGTTGCTGTTTAGATCACCATTTGCAAGTTTTTTTTGGCCAAAAACAGCGTGAAATAGCAAGCAGAAATTTTTTTAAATGAAACTGGAGAGATTTTAATATATTCATTACACTCACTAGAAATATATCTGTAGAATAAACTGATTTTTGTGTAAGTATTACTTCATTATAAAGAAACCGAAGTGTTGCTGCAACATTTTGGTATAATAAAAGATTGGAATAGGAGGTTATCAGATGAAAGGTGATTGATGGCTGCAAGATGTTATAAATTATCAGTGAACCTTGGCGCACTTTACGCTGGATTTCATCTTTTTTTTTTTTTTTTTTTCAAATCTGAGTCTAAAAAATCTGTTGGTGAAGTTGAGAAATTAATTTTTGTATAGTAATGACTACAGAAAGAATGCACTGTTTGGTTGTGAAATCGCTGTTTTTTGTTTAATTTAATTACAGTTTTGCATTAATAAGGTTTTCTATGTTTAAAAAAAATAAATGCATGGACTTTTCGGTTTACTGTGTCACTCGGTATTTAAGACAAAAATTGTCAAGTGTCAAGTGATTGTAAATTGAAACCAGATAAAGAGGTGACTAGCTAAATCAGCAGACGTAATATCTAATAAAACAAATATTAAGCATAATTATCTCCACGAAAAAATTATAAAAACTGACATTTATATTGCTTTTTTAGTGTCTGTTAGTGATTTACGATAAATGCATATTTTTCAAAAAAAATTGTCGTTTTTTTAAACTAAGTACATGTATTATTTTTTTTAGTTTAAAAGTTAAAGTAGAAATAAATAACTGGCGGAAAAAAATTGTACAAGCTGATGTACATTTATTTAATAGTTGCTAATTTACTTTGTCGCTATAGAGGAGTATTTTAAGCTGCACACTCTGTTTCTTTATAACATTGTTAAATTTTATTGCAAACTGGTTTCAGAACTTGTTTACGCATAATCTGTTTTAGATCAAAATGACTGGTCAACGACATGAAACTGAACAGTCGATTTTTATCAGTGTTTCTTGTAGAAAATGATTCCAAGCTCAACTTGATGACCAAGTTTTTTTCATATTTATTACAAAAACGCTACAGTATGGTGGAAAAACGAGAAGACGCGTAAGGGAGTTGAGACTCGAGGTAAAATAGAATTGCATCTTGCGCTATTTTATGACGATTTTTTATGGTTGCTGAAAATATCTTCAACATTATTTCTGGTAACTAGAATTACAAGTGAAAGTTTTGAAGAATCTATGCAGGAAATGTCGTCAACGTTGGCGGCGACGTTCTCTGCGATGCCACTGTTATTTGCAAAGACCACTTTCGAACAGCCGATATGCGTTTTTTGGCTTTTCAGTTTCTTATTTTTTTCACGTCATCGATAAATCGTAGCTGTTCAGAGCTATCAGAAGGAAATGCAAAGTTAAAATGGTTGCTAGGAAAATGGAGATCTGAATTTTCTGGAAAGGTGATTTATCGCTTTTTATTATAATATTTACTGTTAATAAGATACTATTTCCTTTTACTTTATTTTTTAAAAAGTATTAAAATTTTTGTATGCTGAGTAAATTTAGACAGCTAATATAAAAAAACTGTTACAAAAGTAAGCTTTTTGAAGTTTCAGCTCAAAAAATCAAAAAGTCTTATTTTTTAAAAGAAAGCAGATGTTGCACTTTTTCCATCAATAAATGCAGTTAACCTTTAATTTTTATACTTAAAAATTGTTCAATATTCGGTTTTTATAGTGTCGCAGCGTTAAAGCAGTTGACAAGTTTCATAAAGTATAATTCTTTTTAGAAATAATTTGTAGAATAAATGTTCTTTTGAGTATTTTTTTAGGTGTTTTGGCCAAGTATACCTACAATGACATTTGGCGAAGAACTTGAAATTGCTGAAGCTCCTATCGCACAATCTTCTGGTGTACAATTTCTAAACTACAGGTTAACTTTTTTTTTTGGTTAGCTGAGAATGTTATAAATGTTGAAATTTCAGCTTCCTAAGGTGATATTTTGACTATTTTTTGCATGATTCAAAAAGAAGAGTTTTATTTTACAGTTTTTTCTTACTACAGTTAGTTGGTTTAAACAATGAAAGGTTAATTCAAGTAGTCGAGGATTACTTGCGGACATAATGCCGTGTAGAGAGATGACAAAACATTAGAAACAAGATCATTTTAATCGTAAAAACACTACAGGCTTAGCCTGTCGAACGAAATGACAAGTGAAAAATCTTGTTTTTATTATAATGCATAGTTTAAATGCTTTTTTTCTTACGCTCCAGTTTGTTTTTCAAAATTTTCATAGACTAATTTTTTACAAAAAAAAAAAAAAAAAATCAAATTACTGCTAAAATTAATTATTTTTAACACCTGCAAATTGTTGTTTAGTATTGTTAAAGTGAACCCTAAAATATTTTGGGACAGTAATACCTAAAAATAAATATGTTTGTCAATTAAAATTAAAATTTTTGTAGATTTACTGCTTTGACAAAAAATAAATTTAGTGCAAGAGCATGGTCACATTCGACTGGGGATCATTTTCATGACGAATGGGGTTTTATAACAGCAGATAAAAGCGATAAAGTAACTCTAATAACAGCTGGAAATAATGGTTTACTTTTTGTTTATATTCTCTTTTTACTCAATTTAAACTTTAGATAAATATTTATAAATTTATCCAAAAAAAATATTTGAATAAAGGAAGTTACGCAAAAATGATAAAATATTTTATTTGTCTTATAAACTTTCTACTGACTCACATAAAAAAAAAACTTTTATGCTAACCTATTAGAATAATTATATAAAAGTTTTTTATAAAGACTGCTAAAATTGGCATATTTTTAGGTTTTACAACTTATGAAGTTGGTGACATCAGTGCGAAGAAGTTGGTACTTACACTGAAAGACATTGGACGTGTTTCATTTTCTCGAGATCTTCCTGTTCATGATGTATGCTTAACAAATCCTTTTACGACCACAGCTAATTTTTGTATAAGTACCAAATTTTTGCTTTATAAACACAAAGCTGTTTGTGAAGTAAACGAATAAGGAAAATGTATTTGTACAAGATAATTATTTACAGCTGAGAAGGACATTTTTGCTGCATAGTGAAATGTATTTGGAGCAAGTAATTGAAATGCGTACCGCAACTCATCCGATACAAGGTTATTTGGAGCATTCACGAGTCGTCTATACAAAACAGAAATAACAACAAGTCATCTTGAAAAGTGCTATTAACTGAGTTTATTCTTAATTCAGTTAACAAATCCACTATAACTAACTTTGAATTATCAACAGTTTTTCGGAATGATGTAAAAATTCAACATGCTTTATAAAATTATGGGTGTATATTGATTATATGAATTACTACTTTTTCAATATTCATTTTGCGCCATATTTTGGGGCAGTTTACTATTTATTGATAAAAAGAAAAGAAATGCTGTCGACAATATTCAGCTTTTTTTAAACCTTTTCTACTGTTAAAATATTTTAATATATTATATTCAACAGATGATAAGTGCACTTACAGCTGTATAGGGGAATTCAGCAATTCTGGTTTATAATTCTTGTTGATCGTAGCAGTAAGAAGGTTTCAGCAAGGATTTCAGCTCTAAAGCTGATCAGTTGAGCAGTATATTCTTTTAGAAGACATAAAAAAAATAAATATGAAAACAGGATTTGGTTCAACTACAAGCTGAACGTAATAATAACTTTGTACACTGTGGTTGATCTGCTGTTACTTAGTTTTATATTTCATTCTGTGTCACTTTTTTCCTTCTCAAAAACTTATAATTTTCTTTCATTATCAACTGCAATATAAAGTATTATGAAATTATGACACTTAAGTTTGTTTGCTCTTTACGTTTTCTTTTAATTAAAAATTCAATGGAACACTCAAAATGAGACGAAAATGACAGTTATATTGCTCTCAATAACGATGAAAATACAGAGGAGAAAGCTAATTTTTACAGTGAAGTTCCCAGAAACCGTACTCGTCAACTTATATGTTTTATTACTACTCTAAAGTTAAGATAAAAAGTATTTTTAAACTTGAAGCTTTATTTGCTGCCGTACGTAAAAATTTTAATTATTATGCTGGTGAAAATTATGTTCAAACATTTAATCGGTTTCTGATAAACCATTCCAAAAGAATACGTGTTATTAGACAGTAACCCCAACTCTCCTGCAAATTATTTCTGTAAAGATTTACCAGCCTTGTCTGAAAAATAAGATCATATTGTCGTTAGATATGTAGTTTTTCAACTGGTTCTTTTAAACAGTATGCATTTTGATCAGCAAGTACGCGACGTTCTATTTTTTATTGAAGTATCTCAGTAAAAATTATGCTTGTTGCATTAAGTCTTCAAGCTGCTTTATTTGGTTGACTTATAGCGATAAAAAAGAATGAATAGAGTAAATTATAGTGAGTAACACTCGAATTTTTGACTTTACAATTTTTATTCGTTAAACAGGCATCTGTGAGGAACAGATTTGTAAAAACTAAAATAATGGAAGTTTTAGATTGCCAACAGGTTACAGTACCAAAACAGCTAACGACTGTAAAACTTCAACTGTTATTTGAAGCATTTGATGTGATCATAGAAGTTACCGTCAAAATTGCCATTTTCAGTGTCGTGATAGAAGGTTAATCTTAAATTATGTGCTGTTTTTTTATCAAAAAAAAGAAAAAAGATTTTTTCAGTACTTGAAATGGCTTTTTAAAAAATTTCTACAAATAACAACTGCAATAGAGTAGTTGAACAATTTTTTCATTAAAAGTAATGATGAAATTTCAGTATTATTCAACGTCTTTACAAATTAATAATGCTGCAAATGTTATAAAACTAATAATTCTATTCCAATAAATTGTTTTAAAAAATTTTTTTATTGTTCCAAATAGCAATTTCACTAAAAAAATTAATTATCTGTTTTATACATATATAAGAGTAGATTTCTGTTTTTTTTTTCTGAATTATACACAGATTAGGTAAACAGAAAACACTTTGTTGCTAAAAAAAATTTTTTTATTTTTAACATTATATTCTATACAGTAAGTAGTCGTGGAATACAACACTAATTTTTTTTTATTACATTAAGTTAGTTTGCCAAGTACTTTTGGTTTTACTGAGATTAGGAAGCAAAACCTGACCAGCTTTCCTGTATTGACTCGGTACGTATCTGATAAGTGAGTGATCTGATATGATTGAAAAAACTTGAGCAAAAAATTTTCTGAATTTCTTTTCTATGCGTTTAGAGTACAACGAATCATGTTGCCAAAATAGAAATTTGAAGCATTTTTACTGTTGGATGCCTTAATAATGTCATTGGCGATAATATCTGTTTACGTGATTTGTGTAGCGATAGTTCTTATCTGTCTCAGAACACATTTGGCTGAACGACATCTACGGATAATTCGGCAGCTGCAACGAACTCTACGACGAACAATAACGATAGTTATTTTAAAAAATTAGCTGGGTTTTTCTGTTATTATTATCTTTTTTATTGTTTTAATTTTTTTTTATGAAGAGGCTTTTTTAAATTACTAGAAATTTACAGGTTTCAAATGGTACCTAAAGTGCTGGCAAGAAAATACTCTGAGTTTCTATAACAAAGAAAAGATAGTACCGTTGCTTTTTATTTTGCTATACAGCGTTGCAATCAGTTTTGATAAATGCTCATATGAGTGCTGTAAAGTTTTTCTTTTGTGAGATAATCAATGATGCAAAGAATACCAATTTTGTATGTGCTTTGCATCACTACCTTGCTGAGAACATTACAAAAAAATATCTTCTTAAAAAAAAGATTTATTACAAAAAAAAAAAGAATATTTTTTGAACTAAGAGTCTCTATCAAATAGTAACTTTTGTCGAGTTGAATATACGACTGTTTTGAGTCGACTGTTAACCGTAAAGAATGTATAATAAAGCTGTACAAAGTGGAAAAAAATAACCTTTTTTAGAACTTTTGCTTAGTAATCCTTTTTGCAGTTCATGTTACAGAAATCTGCTAATAGAGACACTAGTTAAAATTTTAGCTAAATGCAACTAAAGACAACTGCACCTACAATGAGATTTGATAAATAATTTGAAATTGTTTAGGCCTTAAACACCCAATCTTTCAGCGCGCAGCCTTTGAATCTTTCGGCCACTTGAGGCTAATCAATTTTAAAGTTGAAGACTATTTAAGAATACAAAATTGTGTGAGTAGATCGCAAGGTGTTAATAGCAAGACTGCTTTGAAAGTATAAATTTTGTAGAATTAATTTGTCAGATAAGGCAAAAAATAAAAAATAGAAAACCTAGATTTTGCACTGATGTTTAAATGCTTTTTTCTACGCTTCAATCACTGTTTTTTTCAAATTTTTTTGAACTTTCGGTGAGTCAATTTTGTAACAAAGAAAACTGCTTGAACATTGACTTATCTACACCTAAAGATCATGCTGCTTATTGATTTGTCTAAAGGAAACAGCAAAGATAACTACTTGCAAGCTTGACTTATTTCGACAACCAGAATGTTCTTTATTCAAAGCATACACTACTAGTTTACAAAAAAAAAGCAGGAATAACAGCTGGTCAGTGCACTCGCTTGAAATTTCTCATTTTTTTCAAGAATCTGATCTTTTCACTTTTGTCGTCTAACAAAATAGTTACCTTAAAAAGTGTCACTGTTTTTAAGACCAACAACTTTCGATAGTCTCTCCATAATACAAGCAAAACTTTAACACATCAAACCTTTTGTAAAATAATGGCTGATAAAGGATGGCTTTTTTAATTTACAGGACAGTTTTATCAACAGTATGAATTATGTTTGACCTATCACGTTTGCAAAAAAACTAGAAATTTATCTCTATATGACATCATGAATATAAACGTATATATCTAGCTATATTGTATCTTTATAATTTTATACATACATGTATATACAGATATATACACCCATATACATATTCATCATTAAAATACCGTTTCAAAATAATCAAATTAGCATAATACTCACACAGTAGTTGGTATTGGCAGATAATCATGTTGACAGCACTTAATTTTGCTGACCCTCTGCATGAAACTTTTTGATATGTTTTTTTAAACAGATAATAAAAATATTTTTAGTTGTAAAAAAGTAGCAGAACTTTGAGTTTAGAAAGCTTGCTAAGCGTAACAGCCGAAAGATGAAGTACAAGTGAATAATGCAGAGCTAAAAAGCGTATCGTTTGAACAGTAACTGTTAGCCGAATAAAACATTTTTAAATTTCGCTCTCTATTTTGCGCCATTTCTATACTTTTAAAAAATTGACATTTTTCCTTCCATAAAATTATAAGGCTACAAATTCTTTTGTCCCGTTGCATAAACAGTACTCTAAAATCTTTGATAATTTACATTAACTTTTGTACATTAAAAGTATCAAGTGATTATTCAGGTTATTTTGCTGCTAATAATAACAAATTAAGCAATTTAAGAGAAGGAAAAATACAATCAGTTGGTGACTGTGAAAATAATGACAAAAAAGAAAAGAAAAAAAGGAAGAAATTTTTTTCGTGATTTTTTTTAGCTACGGAAACAACAATTGTCAACTTTTGTACTTTTTGCTCTACTAAAAAAAAAAATAATTTTTTATAAAACAATATGTCTAAACACTCACTTTTGCGTTCTTTAGTTATATTCCTCTCCTAAGAAATAAAATGTTGACGGGGAGCAAAAACCGCACGTTTCGGCACAATATTCACGTATTACGTCACCCAAACCCACATCTAAGCTGTAGCAGAATTTCTTCACTTGCTTGCATGTAGGTTCTAAAAATAATCATGTTTTCATCTTAATTGAGTGTTACTTGAACACAGATAAAACATTAAATATTATGATCTGCATTTATTTGCTGCTCTTCCTAGAAAGTAATATTTTAGTGGAAAAATTTATTAACTGAATTGAGTTGTCAAACAGCTTTATCGGATACTTTATTTAGCTTTTTCTAAATAAGATCATGTAGAGAAGCATAATAAATGCTGGTAGACAGTACTCTTATCTCTGCAGATTTTCTGTGATTCTGCAAATATGCAAGTGTTCGTAAGCAACAGATATGTGAAAAATAGAATAGTAGACATGACTGATAGTCGGTAAACTACGCCAAAAGCCAAATTGCTGAAAACTGTAAAACTTCAATAGACATGTGAAACATTTAATACAATCAAAAATATTATCGTCAGAAACTATCAT